TATATTGGCTTGTTGGTGCCTTATGGTACACCTTGGTTGGTCTCGCTGGGTAGTTTACACCGGTGAAGTTGCATAATCGTAGTGATATTCCGTTGTTTGAATTGAGGTATCAGTACATTGGAGGATTTGACTTAATATGTGAAATACTTGTCTTTATTTTTGTGATTGGTGTTGATTTATATATTGAGATCGGGTTGCACGCCGCAACAGAATTGTCTGGTGGGATCGGGTTGCACGTGCGTAACAAGGAGTAATAAGGGTGGACAGGTGGGATCAGGTTGCGCGCCGCAACATGAGGAATAAGGGTGATATGTGTTGAGGAGTAATAAGGGTGGACAGGTGAGATCGGGTTGCACGCCGCAACAAGGAGGAATAAGGGTGAATATTGATATGTTGTTATTTATATGATGGGATCGGGATGCGCGCCGCATCAGTTGTTGTTGTTATGTGTTCATATCTGTTGAGATCCGTTATTGTGATGTTGAAACACCCTTAAGGATTGGTTATAGCTGAAAAGTAGTAGAACAGTCGGGTTCCGGATTTATTTAATGCCAGTTATTGCTTTATTACATTATGTATTTTCTTTCTTTTTAGGATAAACTGTTGCAGGTTGTATATGTTGTATGCCCCGCCGTAGCCTTGTCACTACTTCGTCGAGGTTAGGCTCGGCACTTACTAGTACATGGGGTCGGTTGTACTGATACTGCACTCTGCACTTTCTGTGCAGATTTTGGAGCTAGTGGCTGATCGTGAGGTTGGTTGCTATCACTGCGTACCGGAGATCTAAGGTAGTCCTGCAGGCGTCCGCAGGCCCTAGCGTCCCCTTCTATCCCATTTCATTTTCTGTTTTATCTACTTTCAAGACAGATGTAAACTTTTCGTTCAGACCTTTATTTGTAGTAATCTTAGACGGTTCGTGAGTTGTGATACCAGTTCTGGGTGGATGTTATTTTGGTTTTCGTTATTGTGTAAAGTTAAGCTTTTAATTATTTTCTTCCGCATTTGTTTCACTGGTTTATTTTGTTAAGTATTAAATATTTGAAAGATAAAGGAAAAAGGTATGATATTTTGAAACGTTGGCTTGCCTAGCGAGTACAATGTTAGGCGCCATCACGGTCCCGACGGTGAGAAATTCGGATCGTGACAGTTTGACACTCAAAATCATCTAGTTACAACTACCATGACACCATGGCTATACATAATTATCGACAATATTATTTTACCGATAAAGAAAGAATTCAACTATTATGCTAATGAAGACATTACTGTAGAGATTGATGAAGGAGATCGGCCTTCTGATATTCCTTTAGAAATGCGAGGCAAGTCTACTACTAATATTGAAGCGTTGTGTGATAGAAGTAGAGATGAAATTGTTGAGAAGTATTATCATGTGTGAGTGACTTTACTTATTATTTCATGATGGATTATCAATATAGTAATTTGTGGATAGAGTTCTAATTTATACTGATGATGTTATTTTAATGATTCAAATCATCATATAAAAATAAGTAATTATACTAGATAATATCATATACTTTAGTATAACTATATATGTAAAATTGACTTAAATCTTTAATATGTTTTTTTTACTTTATGTTTATATTTTAATAAAATAAAAATAAAAGTCTCGTACGATAAATATTTAAGTTCATTTTTATGTTTAAAAGAATTATACGACCTTGGTTCTATCCTTTTTGGTAATTTGACACTCAAAAACACTTTTTGAAATGATTGGCCAAACACAAATTATTTACCAAATGTTCCAAAAAGTACTTCTTAAATGAATTGGCCAAACACAAATAGTTTTTTTCAAAAGTACTTTTAAAAAAAGTACTTCTGAAAAAAAGTACTTTTTAAAATAAGCAGATTTTGGCAGCTTGGCCAAACGGACTCTTAATGAGTTAGAGAAGAAGAAAAATGAGGAAGATTAAAAAAAGAGAAAAGAAAATAAAAAAAGAAAAAGAAAAAAAAATACACTGATTGGACTTTAAGTTCTCCTCTTCATGCGCCTTCATGGATGTGTAACCACTTACCATGCCACATAGGCACAAAAAGTGACAGCATTAATATTAGTTCAAACTAATTTAGGGGATAATAGAATCTCCGCAAAATTGAAGCATGCACTTGAGAAAACTGAGATAAGTTGGAGAGGGTACTTATGTATTATCACTAAAATAACCTATGAAGAAAAATAACGGAACCTAAAACGATATGCATGGAGTGATGGAGGCCACCTTTAGATGGACATTGTTTTTTGTTAAATGAGTATCCATTTGATTTTACATTGTATAAAGGAGATACATATATCTATAATTAAAGGTCCTAAACGGGCTGGGCTGGCCCGTTTAGGACAGGCCCTTACCGATTTTAGATCGGACTTGACCGACCGGATAGTGAGAGGGCCTGGTAGGGCTGGGTTGGGACGGGAACTGGCCTGTGCCGGGTATATTTTTGTACCGGTTAACCGGACCGATACAACAATTATGGTCAGTCATTTGGAACTGATTAACCGGACCGGCCCAGACAGGTTCAACGACTATTTTCATTTTTTTAATAAAGTTGACCGTTTGACAACGGCCAGCTGCCATTTTGACCGTTGCCCAGCGGCTAATTTGCAAGAATAGTCCTTTTTTAGGGAATTTTTTTTTCAAAAATATTACTTTTATTATTTACTAGTTTAGCCCTTTGAGAAATTATATATAGACCCCCCTTCTTCTTCACTCATCTCTCAATTCTCAAACCCAAATTCTCAATTCAAGTTAAATCATGCCCCGTGCTTCTAGAGTGCCCTCATATGTTTGGGAACACTTTGAGATGGTAGAAGAAAATGAAGATGTTCACAAAGTAAAGTGCAAGAACTATGGTCGAGTCTTAAATTTTCGTCAAAAGTGGGAGGGCACAGGCTGTTTAAGGAGGCATATGAAGAGTTGTCTTGAGTGTCTTCCAGAAATTCGTATTTAAATTAATTTGCGATAATTTGTGTTATTTTAAAATTATTAGACTTATTTAAGCTTAATATTTTAGTTTGTTAGATTAATTTGGAGTATTATTATGCAATGAAAATTTGAAATGAGACTATGAAAGCCTTTGAAGTTTGATCCTTATATTTTTTTCATGTTCACTGTTATCTTAAATCCGTAATGAATTTTTCAAATATAAGGCTTTTAAAGCTTTTGAAATTTATTCTAACATTTTTTTACACGTTAGTTTTTAGTGTTTTACATTTTTACTTTTTCTTAATATAAATTATGATTGTTATACAAAATAAAAAAAAATTAAATAAGCCCGGCCCGACCCATTAGGCCCGGAACTGTTCCGGTTAAATTTTGCACCGGGGAAGCCCGGAACAGGTAAGCCGGGTAAAAAATAGGGGGAAGTGCACGGTTAGCCACTAATAACACATGTATTTACTTTTAAGCCACTGTTTAAAATGTCTTTAGTCTTTAGCCACTGCTTTAATAAATTTTAACTGCCCGGATGAAAATACCTTTCTGCTCATGTCCTTAACTTTTGAACTTAACTTCAGGACTTCAGGACTACATGTCCTTAACTTTTGAACTTGTAACTCTAAGTTCATGACTTCAGGACTACATGTCCTTAACTTTTGAACTTGAAAATCTAAGTTCAGGACTACATGTCCTTAACTTTTGAACTTAACTTCAGGATTTCGGGACTACATGTCCTTAACTTTTGAACTTGTAAGTGTAAGTTCAGAACCAAGTGTCCTTAACTTTTGAGCTTGTTAGTCTAAGTTCAGGACCTATTGTCCTTAACTTTTGAGCTTCTTAGCCTAAGTTCAGGACCTGTCATCCTTAACTTTTGAGATTGTTAGTCTAAGCTAAGGACTTTAGGACCTATTATCCTTAACTTTTGAACTTGTAACTGTAAGTTCAGGACATATTGTCCTTAACTTTTGAGCTTGTTAGTCTAAGTTCAGGACTTCAGGACCTATTGTCCTTAACTTTTGAGCTTGTTGGTCTAAGTTCAGGACCTATTGTCCTTAACTTTTGGGCTTCTTAGCCTAAGTTCAGGACCTATTGTTCTTGACTTTTGAACTTGTAACTGTAAGTTCAGGACCTATTGTCCTTAACTTTTGGGCTTCTTAGCCTAAGTTCAGGACCTATTGTCCTTAACTTTTGAACTTGTAACTGTAAGTTCAGGACCTATTGTCCTTAACTTTTGAGCTTGTTAGTCTAAGTTCTGGACCAAGTGTCCTTAACTTTTGAAATCTTTAGTTTCCATGCCAATAATTCCAAGATTTTTGGTTAACACGTAGAGACTTAGATATCTGTAATCAGAGTCAAAAAAGTGAAAACTCAAATTGGTGAATTCTCGTTCAAATGATCAAACACATTCTGTTGTGACCTTGCACATTTGCCTTTTTCTTTATATGTCAATAAAAATGACATTCTGATAGAAAGCAAAGCATAATGAAATGAAAAAAAAAAGGTAAAAATGTCTCGTGGAAAGAAAACGAAATTGAAACTAGGATATCTCCTGGAAAGAAAATGAAAAACGAGTAGGTATCGAACTTGAGAGAGAAGCGAGGGTTTGGGAAGAAAAGCAATGGAAGAAAGGATAAAAATGTCTTTTCATATTAATTTTAATAGAGTAGTGGCTATTTTTGCTCAACATTAGAATTGCTGGATAAAAAAAATACCACCTTAAATAATGACTACCCCACGCCATTTCTACTAAAAAATAACCGAAAACCGGCCCGGTAACGAAACCGGCCGGTTCCCTTTTCCTCTACCTCGACCGGCTCGGCCCGGCCCCTTGACACCTATAATCTATATATACATGAATATATTTAATCAAAATACGGCGTTCTAACATTAACTAAGGCACATATTTCAGTTACGCAGTTATGATTTTTAACTCAAGCACAGATTTAGCAAAAAAGCACGAGTATGCATATTGTAGTACATGATATATCTGCATGCAGACAAAGATGTTATAAGAATCATAAAGATGATGAAGAAATTAATTTCACTTCTTGCCTGTATTTCAATGAGGACAGTGGAATAAGCATAAGCAAAGGCAATATCCCCAATGGCTTGGAAGCATCTCCAGACTTTCTCTGTTCCGGACACGTCCATCCCAACTGTCACCCCAGTTAGGCTTGTCTTTACATGGTGCCCTACACCTATAATTTTTTTAATATAAATTANTGGGTGGCTTGACTATAAGGCAGCAAGCGCTTGCCCCAACTTTAAAGGTGTATTGTATATGTATAATTAAAAAAAATGTGTGTACATTTAAATATAAAAGAATTTTTGGAATAAAAGTATAATAATTTTAATGTGAGTATTATTGTAATAATTAGAGAATAGAATAATTGTTAATAAATTGTTTCCTTACATGGGTAGGGTATCTATTTTTTCCCCTCGTTTATACCCTAATAACTAATACGACCCACAATGTTATTTATATATTTACCTTTTTCATTCTCTCTTTTACTATCTTATTCTCTATACTAGTCTTAGGGTACGCACTTTGCGCGTGTTCCCTATATAAGTGAATATACGATCTTAAAAAATTTAGTAATTATTTTTAAATAATGTGTTTGAACTATTGAACAAAAATTAAAAGAAAATATAATTTTTCTAAAATTGATAAATGTTTATCCAATTTAGCTAGTTCAATAAATAAAGAATGCTGCCATGTAAAAATTCTTATATACTTTATTGTAATTTTTGATGACTTATGTAGGAATATATGATAAAAAGTATTATTTTTTGTTCCCTAATACCGAAAATAAGTAACAATTAATACTATGATATAACTAATTTTGTTCTATTTTTTAATTTCTTTCACTGCTAGTGCTCTTCTTGTGAAAATAAATTTACGTTTAGGAATTTTATCAACTTAAAAAATAATTTTACTTACATGAAGATTTTGAAAAAAATTGAATTAGATTCAATAATTAAAAAATATCTAATTAAGTACATACCTCTTACTTTTAATAGTTACAATCTATAGAAGTTTTCCCTAACTAGTATCTATGAACGTGCGTTGCACGTTAATAATGGCACGTGATGATTTAAACGTTTATTTATATGAAGGAACAATAAAATTTAATTAATGAAAGAAATTTTATGTATAATAATACAACAACCATCTAAATGACGAAAAATATTATTACATTAGCATAATACGTAAATTCAAAATAAAAGGGCATCATCAGAACTTACACAAATGATCAATTTAGTCATGTTAGTTAGATAATTATGTATTATAGTTTAAACGTATTTAATATGATGGATTTTTTTCCACCAAACAGTTCATTGATATCCAATATATTTGTAGAACTCCGAGCAAACATGCGTTGCACGATATTCCCGGTCAATCGTGCAAAAATTTAAGGTTAGTTACTGTCATTTTTATTATATTATATTTATTTTATGAGGTACAAAAGATTAGAATCATATCCTCTTAATAATTTTTAATTTAAAAATGATGTTCTAAGTATACATTTCCTCTTTTGTTACCCAAATGGAAAATCTTGTTAAAGACAAATAATTCAATATTAGGGATTGAGCGGTGAGCATATGTTGTAAAAGTATTAAAAATATTAGTCATTTTTAGCGTAGGAAGTCAAATTCTTGTGCAAACACGTTTGGTTGCACGTTATTCAATCAAATTTCTACAACAATTATAGAAAATTAGAAGTTTCATTTATCAAAGGGTAACACTTTATAATATTTCTATCCACAATAAAAATAGAATATGATAAAAATTATGCTCCTCCTAGAACACATTTGCAACTTTTTCTTTTACTATTCTATTATAACGATAGCATTAGTTGCTAACTTTTTTTTATTTCTAAATGTCTAAAGTAATAATATTATTAGAAATTAATTTAATTATTATAGTGTTCACAAAGAATAAGCTATGATATTTAAAAAATATATTCCTCCCATTTTCATAAATTTTTTTCTCACTTAATGGTAGTCTTTTTCATATGCATTAGGAAGAATTTCAACTATTTTTATATTCTTTCAACATAAATTATATATTTACCTGCAAAAGATAATCAATCAACTTTATGAGTTATTTTTGTTCTTTCTTATCCTCTTCTCTTATTTTGTAAGTATATCCATAGTGATTCACTTTCTTTGTTATGGACAATTATGCTATATAAGTTGTTTATATTGTTTAATTTTTACTTAAATGGTATGATGGAAAAAGAAGAAAAAGGTTAACATTCTAATTTAATTAAAACAAATAATATAAAATCCAGAAAAATTAAAGAATTTGACCTTAATCGAAACTGAAACATGAAGAGACATGTCATATCGACGGGTATTATAAATAGATATTACACAAAAGTATAGTAAATAAATAAACACAAGAGAAAAAATTTAGATTCTATTTTAGTGAGCATGACTCATTCGTTTTCTCTAAACTCTAGATCGCACGTTTAACACTTTTAATTTCTTCCCACCTCATAGAGTAACTATGTTTACTTGTAAAATAGAAAATAAAAGTATGTCATATCTACAAATTATAACTAAAAGGTTAAACTCACCTTAAAATCTGCAAGATAAAATAAAAGAGTGCAATGTTGCAGATGAAAACTCAATATTTTAGCACCACAAGAATTTGCTTTCCGCAACATAAGTTTTAGCAATATTATCAATTGTATAATTTTCCTAACTCGTAAGCACAAAATTGTATGGTAGTTGCTTTCATTTGATCTTGCACCTAATCTTTATGAGTCTGTTCATAGTTTTTATGATATACAAGTAATTTTTGTTTACTGAATATAAAGGACAGAGAATTCAAAGATCTATCTCTAAACCTTTCATTTAGTTTTTTTAACTAAATAATCATGTCTCTAAACAAAATAAAGAATACCTACATATTTTTGCGTTTCTTGGTAGAACAAATTTGTTCCTTCTTAAATTAGATAATACTTCTTGAAAACTATTTTCTTTTGTATTTAAAGATTTTTGTATTGAAAATTTTTATTCCTTCTTAATGATAACTTGTCTTGTTTATTTAATTTATATTTTATTATTTGACGAAAAATTGCTTCCTTATTGAAGAGTTCTTTTTCCTCCTCTTTTTTTTTTTTTGGGTTAAATATTACATTGATTTACTACAGTAGTAAACATAACAATGACTTATGATGATAGGCTATAATTGCATATTTTAGTCGCTTATTACACTCGAATTTACTGCACTTNTCCTAAAACTAATAGGATTACAAGATTAATGTCAAGAATTCCGATTATGTCCTTTTATTGTGAGTTATTATGTTTAATATTATAAGGTTATTTTTGTAAACCGACATTATATTCATGCTTTTATAATAATATAGATATAGATAAGAATAAGTTCCCTATTAGGAGAATGAATGTCTAAACATTTTTTATATGGAAATTGTTGTGAGAAACTATAAGAAACGAAAAAATCTTACCTAATACGCAGTTCAACATAAAAGGATAGTAGTTCAAATATAATTAAGATATTAATTTTAATTCAAAATAAGTAAAAATTTAATAAGAGAATTTTAGGTGATTTTAAAGTTCAAAATATTAGGAATAAAAACTAAATTGCCATTTTGTCTATTGTAAAAACTATTTAAAAGGGTAAAAAGATGAACAATATTTCGCTAAGGGTTTTCGTGATTTTAATATAGTATAGATATAGATATAGATTTATTCATGCACAAGAATTTCATATATTAATTACCCTTATAAACGGAGGATATATGATACTCTCATTATGCTAATTGCGTTGAGTAGACAACGATACTAATGAAGAAAACATATGAAGCATGGAGACTGTATTTCATTAAGCTATTATATTCCTATTTTATTTTACAGTCCTTGTGTTATTTTTTTAAATAAGGAAGGTTCATAATTACAAAAAATTTAGTTGATTTCAAATTCCTAAATATTAGGAAAAATAATTAATGTCTATTACTAAATATTATGAAAATAATAAAATGACTATTTTGCCTAGTGTGAAACTTATTTTTAAAGGGTAAAAAAGACGAACGACATTTCATTAAGGGCATTCGTGCTTTTAATATAGTATAGATATAGATTGAAATATCTCTCAATCAACAACTTACTGCGGCTTCAAGTTGTCTTCTTCAAAATATCAAGCATAACAACAAGCAATCATTATATTGAAGCAATTGCAAATACTTTTCGATATCATTATATCAACTTGTCTTGCTCTATAATTTCTTACCCTTTGATTTCTGCTACTATCTATTGTTTCTTGTACTTCAATTATCTTATTTATCTGTGATAGCTACTGCTACTTTTTAGATTGCTTTATCATTACTTATTCGCGTTCGTTACTTTTATTTTCATACTGCATTGAATTGATTGTCCTTATCTGACTTTTTTTTTTTGCCATGCTTTCTCTTGAGCCGGGGGTCTTTTGGAGACGATTTCTATACCTCCCAAGGTAGAGATAAGATCAGCGTACACTTTACCTCCCATACCCCACTATGTGAGTTTTCACTAGTATGTTGTTGTGTATGTTGTTGTTATATATCAACTTATCAAATTCTTGAGCCGGTTTTATTATTCTACTTTTATTTTATACTTTTCATTAAAAATTTGTTGCGAATATTCTTACTTAAGCTTTTTTAAAATTTGACTTTAGGCCCTAATCTTGTTGAAACGACCCTGATTATTGCACACATTATTATCTTCACGAACCACGAAAATACAAAAATCTTGGCAACACCAAAGAGAAATCTCTATCCGGTTTCAGATATATATTGTTTTACATACTGAATTTGTTTAAATATATTTATCGTTTATAAAAAATAAGAATTTTTTATTACCTTTTCCCAAATCCAATTAGTGGCGTTAAACTGAAGTTTAAAAATGTCCGTCGTTTTAGAAGCAAGAAATTCTTACTACTCCCTATTTTAATATATGTGAAAATTTGTTTCCTTTTTAGTCTCATTTCAAAAAGAATGATTCTTTATAAATTTAAAAATAATCTTACTTAAACTTCTTATTTTACCAAAAAAAAAAGTTATAATCGTACAAATGTATTGACAATGTTTAATAAAGTATCTACTCTTATACCAATACAGATTTTGTGGCATGTTTAAAATTTAAATTAAACCATAAGAACCAAAAAAAATTCTCTTTTCTTAAACTTTGCGATTAGTCGAATAAGTTCCTAACAAATAGAGAGTACTTTCTTCCAAATAAAATTTACCTTTAGGAGTTGTTTGGTTGGGGAGATACGAGATAATAATTCATGAATAAAATGTAGAATTATTTTACTCCGTGTTTGATTATGATACTAATTAGTCTCAAAAATCATTTTGTATTAAAATAATGGGATTAGCTATTTCATATAGATGGTGAGATAGCTAATCCCTTAAAATATTCCAATCTTTCCCATCTCAGTAACCTTTTAGTTGTTTCAATTAGTAAAATAATAATTGTGTGGAATACTTTAAGACAGAGAAATGAAATTTGGAGAGGTACTTCTACAATTAGCGTTATCAGATTCTCTGTTACAAAAAACATGCAAAATTCTTGCTCCCTCCGTTTCATATTAGATGATGTACTTTTCTTTGTAGTCTGTTCCAAAACAAATGACACATTTCTAAATTTGAAAATAATTCAACTTTAAACACTCTTCATTTTACCCATTTACCCTTAACGAGAAGCTTTTATAGACACACAAATGGCATGGCCCCATCAAACTACCTCATCTAATATGAAACGGAGGGAGTACTACTTAATAGACAAGTACTCCCTCCGTTTCAATTTAGATGATACGTTTTCTTTATTAGTCCGTTAAAATAAAGACATATTTTTATAATTAAAAATAATTAAACTTTAAACTTTTCATGTTACTCATTTAACCCTTAATAATGGGCTTTTATAACCACACAAATATCATGATCGCACAAAGCATTTACCTCTTAAACTTCCAAGACCACAAATTTCAAAATTCTTTCAACATAAAGTTGCATGTGTGGGAGTAGGTACCTGCAACTGTGGCTACAGAGAGTCCAAGACCAATAGTAGAGTAGGCAAAAGACATAAGAGCAGCAAGAATGGATAGCCATGAGAGCTTGTGGAAGTTTGGTATTTGGCTAAGAACGATTTGGATGGCCGCAAAAATTATCATAAATGGGTAGTTGGACACCGAGCAGCTGGCGTGGTGACCATGTTTGTGGAAACAATTTGACCTCTTCACCGCCCTGAAATTTTAAACAATACTATAATTAAGTCACTGTAAGTACTCAGAAGATCAGATTAGTCAAAGTTCCGACAAAAAGGTTGAAATATTTTCTACAGAAAGAGACTTACACCATACTGATAGATGCAGTTATAGTGTATCCAATGGTAATTCCTATGAGGTTGCTGTACTGAGCCAGTCCACATAGTTGCACCTTTACACCTCCTGTTAAGAAAAGGCCAAATAACTAATCAACACCTTTTTTCCTTTTCATTCGGAAAACTGGAGTATTTGAATGCTTTAAGGGAAGAAGCCCTACTGGAAATATAAGGTTCTCCTTTCTACCATTATCCGTGATAACACTTTTTTGTAAGCATAACATGATGATATTTTCTACTTTTCGAACATGGTGTCTAATAAAACTAAAACACATTATTAGATGATATGAATGGAATAAAAGACAAATTAATAGTATGAAACAAAGTTATTACCCAAGTGAGAGCTGACAACGTTCATATAAGTGTAGTTTCTGTTGGTGGAGTGAGGGGCAGGAGAGCGATAACAGTCAGCTAAGAGGGTGGAAGTGAAGTAAGTGATAAAAGAAAAGGCAAGGAGAACAGCAGGACCAGCCACCCAACCTAACTGCGCTATTGCCCATGCTAATGACAGCACCCCCGACCCTATCACTGCCGTTATAATATGAGCACTTGCTGTCACCAGTGTTCCTTCCCATTAAAACACCATTAAAATTAGTATGAGTATGTATTTTCTTACCCTCTAAAGAGAAAAAGATGAAAATATATATGGTACCAGTTCTTTTCTCACGTCCATCATCATCAAAGTTTTTCTGCAAGTCTCCACTTTCTACTCCTTCCGACTGTTCTAAGTACATGGTGCTCTTCTGAAACTCTGCTACCATCTCTTGTTTTCTAAATGTGTATATTGCTGTTTCGGGTGGAGAATATTTATATCACAAGGAAAAAGAGGAGGGACAATTCCCCTACGAAGAAAAAGGGTATAAAGTGACTTTGCAGTTAAAATAAAAATGAAAAAACTGGAGGTTGTTGTTCAAGTCAAAGGCCAAAAGTATTTGGAACCAAAAGTGGTGGACAGAAATATACTTCCTCAACTACTTAACAATATGGGTAATAAAACTCTTTTGGGTGTAATGATGTTGGTTTTAGGTCAAGAATGATGGTGTTGAATTTGCACCCTTGAATGTGCTTATTATTATATACTATGGCGTTGTAGTGGATGAACTTCTGCCCCCCGCCCTCCCTTTTCCTTCAAAACCCAGTGTCCCCACAAATTGCAAATTCATTCAGTATTAGCCGCTGAAAATGAAACATCTGTACTAACCATAATTCATTGAAAACCTTGAACAGCATTTTTGCCAAAAGTGGCTGAGAGGGAGAATTCCTTAGCTGACCCCTACAGTCTCTATCCTCATGCTTTGTTATGTTGTTTGATGAAGAGGTCGGTTTCTGAAACGACCGAATAGGTCGTTTTGAGTATTAGACCTTATTTCTGTGTTCTGAGATTTCTATTAGTTTCATTTGATATTTCTCGATTTGTGTGCATAGTCCGTGTCGTTTTTCAAAAAATTTTTACGTAAAAATTTGAAGAAAATGTAATTTTTGGCTTTAAAAACAACTTGAGTTAATCACGGTTAACATTCTTGGTAAACGACCTCGGATCAGTGGCGATTCTGGTAGCTTCGTATGGTGCTTTTAGACTTGTACGCACGTTTGGTTGGGATCCGGGTTGACCCGAGCTAGTTTCATCGCATTTTGTGAAAGATTGTGAAAAATGAGTTTTCAAGTTGAAATCTTGAGTTTTGATGATCGATTCTTGTTATTTGATGTTGTTTTGATGATTTGAGGTGGGGAGCACGTTTATATGATGTTATTATACTTGTGTCCATTTTAGACTTGTGGAAATACTGGTTTTTCATCTGGTGTCCAGTGCTCCGTGATCGCAAAGCCACTCTCGCGATCGCGAAGGGGAAAATTGGGGCTGGGGCTGGTTATTCTATGCGAACACAAGGCCTAGCTCGCGAACGCGAAGGCTTGTAGAGACTGACCTTCACGAACGCAGCCGGCCACTTACGAACTCATAGTGTTGGGTATAGTCTAGGGGAGGGCTGATGGCTCTTCATCGCAAACGCGAACCATGGGTTGCGAACACGGAGGCTTGGCTGGTAAGAAGCCTTTGCGAACACGATGAAAGCTTCCCGAACGCGAAGGCCAAAAGACCTGTGTTCTTTGCGAATGAGAAGAACACCTGACGCCTAGTTGTTTTAAAAGCTGAAAGTCGTGATTATTACATTCAACACCATTTTTGAAAGCTAGAGCTTAGACAAGAGAGGGTTTTGAGGAGATTTTCATCCCAACTTCGTTGGTTAGTGAATTTTAACTAGTTCTGATGTATTTCCATAATCACTCATTGATTTTTAACCTTAATGTATGAATTTCATGGTAGAAATTAGGGATTTTCGGTAGAAGTTAGGGATTTTACCAAATTGAGATTTAGGCCTCAAATTGAGGTCAGATTTAGAACAAATCACATAACCGAGTTCGAGGGTGAATGGTAATCGCGTTCTAGTCCGAATCTTGAGTTTTGACCAAGCAGGCCGGGGGTTGACTTTTCTCAATTTCATTAAAGGTTGATTCTTTTTCACTCGTGTGTAGTTTCTAAAACTTATTTTGAATTATTTGAACTATATTTAGCTAGATTTGATTGATTTGGAGGCTAATTCTATAGGAATGGCCGTGGTTGAGTGTTGCTTTGATTGCGGAAAGAGGTAAGTGTCGTGGTGAACCTTGACTTGATTGGATTATGTGTTATTTTATTTATGTGTGGGGACGACGTATATTCAAGGTGACGAGTGTATATACGCAGTCACGGGCTGGCAACAATGGCTCTTACGCCTTGGGTCGATGAGACCTTTTATGTGGGCTGGCGACAATGGCTCTTACGCCTTGGGTCGATGCGACCTTTTATGTAGGCTTTATTTTTCTCTCGTTAAGGATTTTTTTTGAAAGTGTTCGCCTGACTCATCGACGGTTTAATAAAAAACCTCGATTGCGAGTCGTTATATGGCGATGATCGAGCACCTCGGGAGGTTTAGCTCGGAGGCTGGGTATCTCGAAGCCGGTGTTTGGGAGCTGACATAGTCGAAGCTCTTTTGCCTATGTCGAGGGTTGCCTGTTTAACCGGTTCTTTCCGAAGTAATTGAAGGAATGTGATTTTGTAGCGACGGTCGGGCGTCCCCGAGTCGCATTAGTTTGGCTGGTACAGCCTTTCGACCGTAGTCGTTTGTGTTCGGCTGGAGCCTTTTAAGTCCCGAGTGAAGTAGTTTCGGCGTCTATATCGAGGGTATGCCTTTTAGGGGTCTTACAAGTTCAATATATAGCCTTAACTTTGATATCGGGTTTATGCCTTTAGTAAGGTCTTACAAGTTTTACATGCCTTTGAGGTCTTATAGTTTGGATTCTTGGTACAAGTATAGTTCATGCCTTGCTTGAGGTCATACAGATATTGTCACTTGGTACAAGTGTGGTTCATGCCTTGCTTGAGGTCTTACAGATGTCGTCGTTGCCTTATATAGGTCTTACGAGACCGAGTCTGCCCGCTCGGGGTCTTATGGCCTCGAGTTTTTGATAGGTGGCGATTGGCGACAGTCCCCGAGTTATCGAGGATTTTTTGGCTCGGGAGCCATTGCGATGGAGATGGCGATTTGACGGCAGTCCCCAAGTTATCGAGGAAATCTTGGCTCGGGAGCCGTTACTTGCAAGCTTGGTGCTGCCTCGTTTGAGGGCTTACAATTCTGGAGTCTCCGACCCGGAGGTCATGTGGCTTTGAGTTTTCGACGCCAGTCCCCGAGTATTCGGGGCGTTTTTGGCTTTGGAGCCATTTCATGATTTTGATGTTGCCTCGTTGAGGGATTATGAGTTTGGAGCTCCGACCCGGAGGTCATTTAGGTAGTCCCCGAGAGTTCGAGACGTTTTTGACAGAGGAGCCGTTTTTTGCAAAATACCGAGCTTCTTTGAAACGCAAAATGCCTTTTGAAATTATTCTTCGATTGCTTGAGCATACATCTCTTTGCTGTTGAGGGCTCGGTTATTCTATGCGGGCACGGTTCATTCGACCGTTTGGCCCGGTGCGTTGTTTTTCCTATCGAGACCCTATTCTGCATATTTTAGCTTCTTCGAGAAGGTGATCTTCCGGGGGGATGCCCTCCAGTATTCGAGGTCGATTGCAAGAGAAGCCTTGAATACTCGTCGAGTTTTCCATAGGTAGAATATAGGTGTTGCCTCGTTAAAAACCTTGCCGGTAAAACCCTTTTTGAGATAAAAACTCGATCGAAGGAAAAGAGTGCAACACATGCTTTTGAAACCTAAGGCATTCGAGTTGGAGAGTGCTTTGGCCGTTTTGATCGGATACCTGCACTCAGGTTAGTGTAGAATGTAATTGAAAGAGAAAGCAGTCGGTCATACCTTAGTGTAGAATGTGCTGGCGATGTTTCGATCGTTTGTCATGAGGACGCGGTACGGTCCTTTGCTTTGTTTGGTTCGGACTTAGCCGAGGGCGTAGCTTGCTATTGCCATTTTACTGTTTGATAATCCTTTGGCTCCTTTGAGGGTGGAGGCACTGGTGTCGGCGTTACATCGTGTACTACGAACATTTCCCTTGCTGCATGCTCTTCCCCGTAGACGGTTTTAATCCCCTCTTTTGTCGGGAATTTCATCATTTGATGGAGGATGGACGGTACCGCTCTCATGTAGTGTATCCATGGCCTTCCGAGCAAGGCGTTATACCTCATGTCTCCTTCGATGACATGGAATTTGGCATTTTGGGTTGTGCCGGTCACGTTGACTGGGAGAAATGTTTTAAAAGGCGGGGGCGTGAGGCGAGGCGAGGCGAGGCGTTTTACCTCTAACGAGGCGAGGCGTAAACCCTGAGACATGGGGCGTAAGTCCCACGGATCTTTAAATTTTACTAATTTAAAGAATTTTAAGATAGTATAAATTAAAAAATAATTATAGAAATCACATTAAAATCACAAAATTATAACAAATAATCTATTTAAAACATTTATAAATTGTAATTCAGCTATGAATAATACGAAAAGTATGACATATATCATAATATGCAAATTAGCTGCAACGTTGTTACAACTCAAACATCAAAAGTAATGTATTCGATACGAAATCTTATATGTATCTCTTAAGGAGTAGTGAATCTTGAAAGAATTTCGATATTATAATTTGATATTTTTCTTAAAATACTCCTTTTATTTAATATGCTTTCTATTTGAAAGTGAATTTATATAAAAACATAATTCGTAATTTATATATTAATTCTCTAGCATCATTATTTAAGTTACAACAAGTTAATAAAGTGACACATAATTCACCATACAATACCATGATAACTAATTATTTGTAAATAGTTACTTGGTAATACTGAGCTGTTAAATTAATAAGTATTATATATCGTAAACGTGAAAAAATAATATTTAGAAAAAAAGTTATAAATAAAATTATGGACTATTATATAGTAAACACAAAAGTTAATAAATACTCCCTCCGGTCCACAATAAGTCCAATTTGGTTTTTTATTTTTGTCCAAAATAAGTGTCCATTTATATAATCAAGAAAGAATTCAATTTGTTTTTCCAAAATTACCCTTATGTACATATCCCTAAAAAGTCATTTACTCCTCTCATTTGAGAAAAGAAGTAATTGCTACTATAAAGAAGCTGCAATATTTAATTAATGGTAGTTTAGTCACACTAAATATTTTTGTTAATTTAGTATTTTCTTTATGGGTGTGCCCAAAGCAAATTAGTTACTTATTGTGAATCGGAAGGAGTAAATACTTTTTGAATGAAAGATTTATTTAAAATTTACTATCATAGCAGTCTTAGTGGATAACGTGCAATAATTTTTATTTCAATTATGACATAAAATACTCTCAACT